TTTGAAGTTTCGCCCTAGGTTAGGCATTGAGGAAAAAAAATGCAAACCGCTAGGTGGGGGGCGGTTTGCATGGTATACCCCCCCCCTCCCCCCGGTAGGGGTGGGCATTCAGTCGGTTCGGTTTCGACCGAACCAAAATTATGAATACCGGGTCCCCGAATTCTCTCAAACCGAATTCGAACCGAATTATAATTCGGTTCGGTCGGTTTAAAATAAATTATAATTCGGTTCGGTTTGGTTTTTCACCCAAAACCGAATTTGTGAAGCTACTTGTATTTTATCACTTTTAAATTATTCACCCTTAATATAAACAATAAATATCAATTATATGCATCATCAATGATAAAATCAAACTTTTCAACATATAAGTCATAAAACATTTCAAATATTTAAGTCTAAAAACAACTACAAATATAAAAATCCACCATTTGGAGCTTGCAATGATAATATTTCGGTTTTTCGGTCGGAAATTCGGTTCGGTTGAAAGAACCCTGGTTTCCGAAGTATCCATATTTTCCTTCCGAATTCCGAACCAAATAGCATTAATTCGGTTTCGGTTCGGTTTAATTCAGTTTCGGTTCGGGTTTACCGAACCGTTTGCCCACCCCTACCCCCCGGGTTTATCATAATGCTTCGTCACCATGAGGTCTTTTGGCGGCAGGAAGGAAAACCGCGGGGTGTGGGTGGCGATTTTCACCTTAACCGCGAGGTGAGGTGGCGGTTTGTGGGAAAGGGTGGTATTTTTGGAATTTTTTGAAAATGGGTGTTATTTTTGGATTTTTTTTTTGTTTTAGGTGGTATAGTTGGAAAATTTCTTTTTTGATGAATAAGCAAGTTATATTCCGTCTAAGTAATGTCTTTACAACACAAGCCAAAAGAGGGTTCATCAATAAGACCATTTATGGAAACTATTTTGTTTTGCCAACTACTGCTCCTATTGAATCTATCTACATGAACCAGAGTATTTTTCTTATCAAACTCTACACTTAGTTGCATATTGCCTAATATCAGACCCTCCAACATACTCTTCATTTTAGCAATCAAAGTTGTTGCAGTAAAAGACTTCTTACCATATACTCTACAACACCTCTCTCTTCAGATTTCACTTACCATTAAATTCCAAAGTTACCTCCCTACACAACACCCCTGGAACTTACCCACTGCTTCCTGCAAACCTTTATGCTATTCTGATTCTGCCAGAGGCTGATAGTCCCAGCTTGCAGGGAAGACAACTCAAGGCACCTCCTGCACAAATGGGCACTTGAGGAATTTTACAATGCTATATAGTATTGGTGCTATAGATTTTTGCCTTTATGGTACAACTTAAAATTGTATCTTTAACGTTATGGTGCAATTTCAGATTGTATCTATACTTTTTGTACAAATTCTGTAGGTAATGTCTATTTTTTTTTATGGTTAAATCAAATCGCATTAAGAACTGACACCAATAGAAAATCGCTATGGAGCCCTCAAAAACTAGCAATCCTGTACATCATTCCCCAAAGGGTAAACACTAAACCAAAGATAACTAACTATCTACCCCAAGCCCCCTAGCTTCAAAGCAATCAAGCAAACATTGGTTCAAAAGACATCGCCCCCGAATGATTCTTCTGGCAACAAGTAGCAGCTGAAGAGGATCCCTAGCCGCAACAGAGCCATACAACCTCGCACACCTTTCCCGCCACACAAGACTGATAAGGACACTCCAACTCATTCTATTCAGAAAATTCTCAGGGGGTGTCTTTGCTCCACTTCTGAACACACCAATCCAACATAGTTTCCCAGCTACCAAGCACAGGTGGTGATGCCACCCCCAACACCTTACAATATAAGTGTTGTATATAAGAACAATCAACAAACAAATGTTTTCGAGTCTCCACTCCCCCAGGGCACAGCAAACAGCCCCCAGAAAGCGGTTTACCCCAGGCAATCAGCTTATCCTGTAGCTTGAGTCTGTAATTAATCACCAGCTACAATATAAAGCCATGCCGAGGTATGATACGCTTGTCCCAAACCAATTTAAACCAACTGATCTCAACATCTTTTTGTCTTAATGAATTCCATACCCTCGAAACGGAATAAGGATTCATAACCATACCATCCCACTGCAACTTAGAATTAACCATGGAAATATGAGGTCTCACCTGCTGCCTGCACTTAAGTAACCGTTTCCATACCCAATTCCCTGCTGCAGTCTCTTTTAAGTCCAATACAGATGCCTGTTTTACTCTATATCTTGTAACCCATGCAACCCAAATAGACCCCTCTGCTGCCAGAAGTGCCCAAAGATGCTTGCAAACACAAGCTTTATTCCAGACAGAGAAATTCTTTATACCCAACCCCCCTTCCTTTTTAGGCCTTGCAATAAACTACCAGGCACCCGCTGCTCTCTTCCTCAGTGAGTTGTCATCAATGTCCCACAAAAAGTGGCTACAAATAGCCTCCACTTCTTTGATAACATATTTTGGTAGCAAGAAGATCCCCATCCAGTATTGTAACACACTAGTAAGGACTGAATTAATCAGTTGCAAACGACCTGCAACACTTAGGAATTTAGATCGCCAGCTAGTAATTTTCCCTGTAATATTTTCAATCAGCACCCTGCACTCAGCTTTAGTAAGCTTCCCAGTAAGCAATGGGACTCCCAGATACCTAACAGACAATTTACTATTGGGAAATTTGGAGTATTCAGAGATTTTCAACTTCTCCTCTTCTGGAATACCTCCACAAAATAGTTGGAATTTATCAGGATTACATGTCAGACTTGATATAGTGTAAAATGCATCCAATACACGACATATGCCAGCAACCCCCCTGATTGATCCATTAGTAAATACCAATAAGTCATCTGCAAAGCTGAGATGAGTGATAGCCAGTGGCTTACACCTAGGGTGAAAGGGAATCTGGTTTTGAGCTGCTGCTTGCTTCAACAGACCATCAAGAACTTCCATGGCAACTGTGAATAGGTAAGGGGATAGTGGATCCCCTTTCCTTAAGCCTTTTGCCATATCAAATGAACCACAGATACCACCATTAAGCCCAACACTAATTCTAGGAGACTGGACACAAGCTTTTAACCAATCAATAAACTGCTTAGGTAACCCCATGACTTCAAGCACAGAGAACAGAAATAGCCAACTAACCGAGTCGAATGCCTTCATAATATCAATTTTTATTGCACAACGAGGGGTAATATTCTTCCTATGATAATCCTTAACCAGTTCAGCCGCTAGGAGTATATTATCACTAATAGACCTCCCTCTAACAAAAGCAGATTGGGACTGAGAAATAAGCACAGGGAGAACAACAGCTAACCTGTTTGCTAATAACTTTGATATACCTTTATATAGAGTATTGCAGCAGGAAATCGGACGAAAGTCCTTCATTCTTTCAGCATTTGTAACCTTGGCCACCAGAGTAAAGATGGTAGAGTTTATAGCCCTAGGCATTACCCCTGTTTGGAAGAAATGGAGAGCCACATCCTCAACCAGAGTACCAATCAGATCCCAATGGAGCCTGAAGAATTCAGAAGGGAATCCATCAGGTCCAGGTGCCTTATCCCTCCCTAAACTGAAGAATACATCTTTAATTTCCTGCCTTGTTATAGGGAGAACCATAGCTTCTGCCATTTCTGGTGCAAGACATTTAAACTTCAACTGCTGGTAAAAACTAGATGGCTGAAGCAGTACATCTGAGTTGACTGTGCCAATCAAGTTAGTATAGAAGTCAACATCCACACTACCTATCCCTTTAATATATGTTACTTCCTTGCCCTGTTCATCCAAAATCCTCGAAATTTGCTGCCTATGACAGTGTACTTTCACAGTTTTATGGAAATAAGCTGTGTTGAGATCCCCTTCTTGCACACTTTGAATTTTGGCTTTTTGCTTATAGAAGCTCTCTTCTGACCTCCTAAGCTCCAGACACTGCTTGGACAATCTCCCCTCTTCATAAACCAGTAGATCAGTATGGTTTTGCAACAACTCAGCCTGCAACACTTCCAATTTCCCTTCAGTATCCCTAGCCTGAGCAGATATATCAGAATAAACCTCTCTGTTCAATTGCCTCAAACACTTCCTGACATTTCTTAGCTTACCATAGAACACATAGTGAGGCCAACCTTCCACCTCTATTCTCCACGCATCAGTTACCAATTGCATGTAAGAGGGATGACTCACCCAAAATTTAAAGTACTTAAATGGCTTAGGTAAGCTACTGACCTTGGGGATGGGAGCAAGCAAAATTCCACAATGATCAGACACCCCTGGGAGGGGGGGGGGGGGGGGGTAGTTTGTGCAACACTAACTGGAAAAGAATTAAGCCAGGTATCATTCACTAGTACTCTATCAAGGCGCCTTGCAATAGGATTCCCTTTCTGCTTATTCCACCATGTAAACCAACCAACTCCCCGCCACCTTATGATCTACCAGCTTCATCTCCTCAATCCAATTCTGGAAATCCTCCATGCTAGAAGAGAATGACTCAAGATTAGAGGTTTCAGTAGGACCTCTAACCGCATTAAAATCACCCATCACAGCCATAGGAATCAAGCTTTCATTACAAACCAACAATTCTATATATAATTCCACCCTCTCAGACTCCTTGTTTGGGCTATAGATCACCATTAGAACCAATGGCACATCCCCTTCAACTAGAACTTTCAAAAAGTGCTTGCCAAACTCCAACTTTGTAATGGAGATGCCATCCTTCCAAAATAACCAAATTCTACCATTGGGGGACTTGGGATAGTTATTCATATGCTGTAAATGACTAAACCTTCTATTAACTATATCCACACTATTCTCAATTCTGACTCTAATTTCTATAACTGCTAAAATATCAAGCTGATGTATACGTATCTTCTGAAGCACAGCAGAGTGCTTCTTAGGAGCATTAAAGCCCCTGACATTCCAGCACAATATCTTCATTTCTTCTTCTTGCCCCGCCCCTACCTTTAGCAGGCTGCGGCGGCTCAGCACCCATTCTCCAAACTGGCTTACTCAGTGAAGGGAAAGCTTTATCATCCAGTTGCATCGCATCTTCTTCTGACCAGAAAATAGATTCCACGGGCTCTTGGCAACAGAAGCAGGATCAGGAGCCCTAACCCTATGCTTTCGACTAGTGACCACATGAAACCCATCATCAGGCTCAGGAGTAGAGCTATTATCCCCCACCACTGACTCCACAGGCACTACCATAGTCTCAGATACCTGCTCAACAACCATTACCTGCACACTAGCTTCAGCCTGTATACCAGCCACCTCACTAGCTGTCTCTTGGGAATAAGCCTGAGCAACAACCATCTCAACCATTTGCTCCTTACCCTTTGCACTAGCTGAAATCACCTCTTTAACCTTTGGCTGCTTAACAACCCATACACGTTTCACCTCCCCTCCTGGATATGCACAGTCATGCCCAAACAAACCACATTTCTCACACTTCTGAGGCACATGACAAAATTCCACATCAACCAACATTTCAGGGCGCCCCTCAGGGGTAATGCTCAGCTTATTAATCAGATTTGTTTTGGTAGTGATCTCAACACAAACCTTTGCAACACCATACTTGGTCCCCTGCTTTGTTGGATAATCCATATAAAGAGGCCGCCCTAAAGAGCTAGCAAGACGCCCTAATCCTTCCTTAGATGTTAACTCAGAAGGCAGATTTGATAATCGAACCCAGACTGGAACAGCAGAGTTGTCAATGGCTAGGGGTTGAATACCTGGCTCCCATCTCCGAAGCAGGACCATATTCTCACGGTGAATTGAAACAGCACCAGACGCTCCCCTAACCACGATACTCGAACCATCCCATCGCGCCCCCAAATCCAGTTCGCCCTGAAGTGAATTGAAGAAAGAGAAGCCGGACGATCCATAAACTGCCCTACCAAACTGTTCACCCATCGCTTTTCACCCTCTTCAATCACCGAATTCAGGATCCGAAGAGACCCATTCACAAATTCTGGCTCATAGTAATCAAGCTTGAAGTCAGGACTGACAGAGAAGAGAGAGGCCCAGGTGCGCCCGTCACCGACGGCACCTGAGTTGGCTCCGCCGGTGACGGCCGCCATCGAGAAACCTAGCGATGCGTTCAGAGAGAAGAGGAAGATACACTAATGTCTATTTTTTATCCAAACCTTTTTCGGATTTTTTTTTTATATCATCCAAACCTATTAAAATGCTTTTAATTAGCCAAAATTTTCGTAATGCATCAAAATATTAACCATTTTTACGTTATTATTAATAATTTTGTAACTATTTTTTTGGTTAAAATACTAAAATTTTGGAATGTTGACCTTCATGTGTCTCTTTCAAGTCAGTATCATGTTGCCAAGTCAATATTACTAACAAATTTGCTAATTGAAAGCTAACATTTGGTTAATTCTTAGTATTTTGATAGATTTGACTAATAAAAAAGAATCCGAAAAAGATTTGGCTAATAAATAGTCATTATTCTTTTATGGTACAACTTGAACTTGTACCTTTATGTGATGGTACAACTTCAAGTTGTGAAGTGGTACGATAACATAATGGTACAATTTCTTTATGGTACAATCTGAACTTATACATTTAATGCTATGGTACAACTTTAAGTTGTATATTAAAGCACCAATGTTTTATAACATAGTAGAAGTGTTCATGCGCACTCAAAGTGAATGTGGTCCCTGGATTCTTCCTACCCCAAACACAAAGGACATTTATTGACTATATCTAGCTGCCATTTCTTGATTTTATCAAAGGCGGAGATTCTATCAAGTGTGACTAGCCAAGTGATCAAAGAGTTCTTTGGTATTTGTACTTTCTTTCAGATAAGTTGAGCCCATGCTTTACCATCCTACTTAGGCCTAAACCATTCTCATACCAGTTGGATAGTATATTTAGCCATAAGCTTTCCTTCCCATGTCACTCCAACCCTTGTTTTATCTAGGCAACCCTGTATTTGACTCCTCAACTTCAACACCTTATTCCACAAGCAAGCATCTGGAGTACATGATTCCCATATAATGACATTCCTTAACCTATATTCTTTAAGCCAGGCTATCCACATGGTCTCCTGGTCTGATAGAACATTCTAGAGATGCCTCACTAGACATGCTTTGTTCCATCTGTGTAGATCCTTAAACTCTAACACTCCCTCCTTCTTTGTCAAGGCCACAATCTTCCATGTAACTTTTGCTTTCCCTTCTTTTGACCCCTAGAGAAATGCAAAAATCTATTTCTCTATCTCCCTGATTACTTTTTTGGGCAATTGGAAAACCATCATCCAAAATTGAGCAATGCTAGCTATAACAGATGTCACTTACTGAAATTTGTCTGTATAAGATAGGTAAGAGCCTGCCAACCTGTAGTTCGCTTCATTATTCGATCAACCAAAGCTTTACAGCCCACAGCTTAAAGCTTGCTTGCTATCAGGGGGACCCCAAGATATCTGACTAGTAATTTGCCTTCCTGGAGCCCCGAGTGTCTAACTAATTCAACCTTCAGATCCTCCTCTATTTTAGCACGAAAGATTTCACTCTTCTGTGGATTGCATTTAAGGCTAGAGATCTAGTAGAGCTGCTTCAGTACTTCAGCCGCCCCCTGTACCCCTTCCATTGTCCCTTTCATGAAGATAAGTAAGTCATCTACAAAACACAAATGTGACAGCCCTATCTTCTGGCACGACGAATGAAATGGCAGAACTTAGGTAACTAGTTCATGGAGCAAGAGCGGGAGCAGGAGCGTGGGAGCGTCTCTGATGGAAGAATTTAATATTGAAAGCGTGAAGAGAGCATTATTATATTATTTATAATATTATTATTTTAATATAATGAAAAATTAGTATACAAAAAATCTATCTAAATATATTACTTAGTTTATTATATTACTAATAAGAAACCATAAAAAATAAGGGATAAATGTTAAATAATATGAAAGTTTAATGGGCGTTTATGGGTTTTTGCTTGATTTGTATCCCAATACTGTTCCAAAAGCCCATTGTTTTGTTAATATAAGACAGAGAAAGATAATAATACCTATCCAGCAACCATAAGCTTCTAGGCAAGGATGCTTTTCCTTATTCCAATTCCAAAGGTGCTGTCGTGCTGGTATTTCCAGATCTCCCATCAACTGTTGGCCGCCGAATCTCCCCGACGCAGAAACTCCTAGCTTCTTCAAGAACAAAGCAGTCATGCATCACATACCCTTATCTCATTGCTTGATGGTAGTTTCTTCCTTTTTTAGTTCGACAATCTCTCAATTAATCGGCGATCTCCATCACCGGGTCGAAGCTTATGGTCGGAGTGTTGTAGGTGAATCTATTCCACTTCACCCACTTAGGCAATTAATAACTTGAAGCTCATTGTGTCAAAACTAGTTTGAAAGGGTTATGTCAATAGGATTCAGGTTCTCCACCAACAAATTCGTGCTCTGACTAAAAGTAATTCGCGAATTTTTTAATATCTTCCTTCAATTTGCGGTTTAACACTCCAAAGCAAGAGCGTCCGACCAAATATCAAGAATTAGGTTACCTAAAGCAGAACCTTCATTTCAGTTGCTCTAGTCAACATACAACTTAGTATTTCCATCGAGATAATAAACAGATAAGGGGACAAGGGGTCCCCTTGTCTCAATCCATTTTGAGCTTGGAAGTGCCATGTTAACCCTACATTGATGCAAATAAGGATGGCAACAAAACCCGAACCCACGGGTACCCACCCGACCCAACCCGGTCAACGCGGGTAAAACCCGTGTTGACGGATTTTGGGCCGGATTCGGGTTTAAACCCGCTACACTATTCACCGGGTCGGGTTGGGTTTGGGTTTAGGTAAACCGGCCCCATGGGTACCCGCCCACACATATATAATTACTTTCCCGGTATATTTAATATTCTAAATAATATATCTTCCTTAAACAACTAATATTCTTTATGTTTGTGGAGACATGTATAATTTGTTCTTTCTAATTGTTTAGAATGAAGTTGATATTATGAAGTGAAGAATGAAGAAACTTAGTTGACGAGGAAGAAACTTTCAATTAATCTTATTGTTTATAGATGTTTATCTTTAATTTTGAACAATTTGTATTCATCATTTGCTGTTTGCTTTATGCTCTAGATTGGTGTTTTTTGTATGATTAATTTGTATGAGAAAATTGATGGTAAACTTATATTTTGAAAGAAACTTGTTATTGTAAACATTTTACTAGAAAAACCCAGGGGTACCCATGAACCCGCGGATACCCAGCGGGTTGGGTTGGGTTTGAGTTTTTCAAACCCAACGGGTTTTACCCCGGGTTTTTTTGGCGGATAAACCCATCGGTTTGGGTTTGACAAAACCCACCCCAACCCGACCCATTACCATCACTAGATGCAAACAATAAAAGTAGTTGATTCCAGACATGTTTTGATCCACTTAATAAAATGAATAGGAAACCTCATAGCCTCTAACACAGACAACAAAAACTCCCAGTCAACACTATCAAATGCCTTCATTATGTCCACCTTAACAGCACATCTAGGTGTCACATTCTTCCTCTGATACCCTTTAACTAGTTCATGAGCCAGTATGATGTTATCACTAATCATCCTCCCTTTTATAAATGTAGATTGGTTCTTGCTAATCACTAGACGTAATACCAACAGGAGATTGGTCTATATTGCTTAAGAGAGCCTGCATTGGGGATTTTTGGGATTAAAGTGAGTATCATACCATTCACCTCTTTTAATAATCGTCCAGAGAGGCAAAAGTCATTTACTACTTCAATGGTAAGATCACCAACCAGCTCCCAATTATGTTGAAAGAACTCGACCGTGAAACCGTCTGGGCCAGATGCTTTGTCCCTAGGCATACCAAAAACCCTGCCTTGATTTCTTCTGATGAAACAGGATCACATAGATTTGTGATCTCAGGGGGAAGGTGATGTATAAGCATCTTTTTTTATCATGTTGATATGGTATTTCCTCATGTCTGCATCTTTCACTCCCAACAATGTTTTGTAGAACTTAATAGCTTCTTCCCCTGTCTCCTCAACATTCGTAATAGTCTTCCCTTCTTCAGAAATCAACTGTGTTATGGTGTTTCTATTATTTCTGAACTTCACAAAGCTATGGAAAACTCTTGAGTTCGTGTCACATTCTGATAACCATGTTTGCCTTGACTTCTGCCAAAGAACACTCTCTTCATCTTTCTGCAACTTCAGAAGGTGGACCTTACGGTCCTGCTCTCTTGCAAAAGAGGTTGGAGTAGGACGCTCCAAGGCTTCAATTTGTGTTGCAGCAAGGGATGCTTTTGAACACCCTCTCGTGTATATCAGAATAGTGGACCCTATTCAGTTTCTTCAGGCGAGCTTTTACTTGCTTTAACTTTTGATACAGACGAAACATATCACATCCTCTTACTGGAGATTCCCATACTTCCCTTACTAACCTCTCATAATCCGGGTGCTGTCTCTAGAAACTAAAGTACTTAAAAGGTCTTGGGAGGGTTTTGGCTTGGATA